CTGCACAAATTTTCTGCATGTATGTCACTGATACAAGGGGACTGATACATGTGAGTGGTGACTGGATTTTACTGCTTTCTTGTGGCTTCAATTATATGTGTTGATTGCTCGATATTATATTTTTTTCTGAATGGAAGTTTTGAAAAAGGGTGCAATTACAATTACAGGAAAATAGTCAGTAGAATGTTCACAGTCAGGCACTGAAATTGCTCTGAAATTGCAGCTGTAGTTGACAGCTTGTTGGTCTGGTTTAAAAATGAATTGTTGCTCTTTAATAACAAAACTTGCCATTTCTGAATTCATACTCTATAAACAAATGATTGCATTTCCCCAAAAGTGACTGTTGTTTACAATTTGGGTATTTTTAATACTCAAATGATTGTGACTTGCAAATCGTTAAACGAAACTTCATTTTGGTTGCTTTTTATTGAAATGGTTCAGGAAATTGTTATCACAGTCAGTGTTTTCAGTATTTGTTGTGGCAAGTTTCCACTGAAATAATTACGCCCTTGGTGAAGTTTTTACAGGAAAATAGGGAGTTGAGAGCACATTTCTTCTATAGTGTGTGTTTCTATTTCTAATGGTACAGTTTAGCACAACTATAAAAATCTTCTTGTCAGAGTTTTCAATAGTCCTGAATTTTAGTGAAATATGTTTTTGACATGCAAGTGTTCTTGGTATTTTAATTCATGTTATGGAGAAAGAATTCGCAGGTGTGGAGACAGTATTCAGAAGCAGAACATTTTCTACAGTAGAAGCAATTGAGAACAGCCACTTAAAAGCCTATTCATTATGAACAAATTTTTGATGGGATTTTTTCCTCCTTGTTTCTGATGCAGCTATTCATTTAGACTGTTAAATAGCTGAAATTAATCAGTATACTATTTTCTTTTCATTACATACAATTGGCTCATTTCTGCCTCAATCAACTAAAACAGGTAGGAAAAGGTAAGACTGAAGATGAAAGCAAATGAAATTTCCTCTTTGAGGCAATCTGGGAAGAAGGCAACTACTTCTGCTTATGATTCATATTTTGGTAATACACCTATCAATACCTAGCCTAAATCTCTTACCAAAAGACTGTATGGGGTCCAGCAAGATGCATTTATGTTGCAGATGGGATTTGTTTATTACTGTTATGTCCTTAGCAAGATAGTGACAGAGATTTCAAGTAAGCTTTTCTTGTCTGCTAATGTCTGTGTGACTGTGTATGAAAAGATTAAGAGGATAAAGGAGGAGCATTTCTTCTCATTTTAATGTGTCAATAATTTCCTGTAAAACACATTCTTTGTCACTCCAACTGATATTTAGATCTTACATTGCTTGACATATGAAATATTTGTAGATCAAAGAAGTAAGGATGCAGATTATTACTTGGAATTCTAGGAACTGATAAGAGAAAGGAGATTCACTACTTATAATATTTCTTTCCTTTCCGAGTGTTGGGTTAGACTATGTCTTGTTTTAAACCAAAGTAGTACAGCTAATGAAGAGAGTTATGTTGTATTAAGTTATAAAACTTAATTTTGTAACCTCATGGAATACCTGAATGAGCTAAATTGTAGCTACTAAAACAGGAGAACCTATATTTTTGGTCCCAAGAAAACAGATTTTATTATTATGAGATGTGTAAACAAAGTGTATGAAAATATTTTCCATGACTGGCGCTTGCCTTGTCTTAGGTTGTGTTTTAATAATGAAGTAGAAATTTCCCTGTACTCAGCAGTCATCTTTTGCATGAACTCTACTCTGGAAGTGCTCATCTGTAACTTTGGCAAAAGCAGCTTTATGCTTTGACAGTATTATATTTGGTCTATAAAGTCATTTTAATCTGGACCTTACAACTTTAACTTTTTGTCTCAGTCTTCGCTGACAAGGGCTCAAGCCATAGTGCCCAGGTCATAGAAGTCAAAGGCAGGGACTGGGAGAATGAAGAACAACCCACTATAGGGGAAGATCAGGTTTGAGACTATATAAGGAATCTGGAGGTGCACCTCATGAGATGTATCTGTGGGTTCTGAAGGAGCTGGCAGATGTAGTTGCTAAACCACTACCCATTATATTTGAGAAGTCATGGCAGTCCAGTAAAGTTCCCACTGACTGGAAAATGGAAAACATAACTCCCACATTTAAAAAGGAAAAAAAGGAAGACCCAGGGAACTACAGGCTGGTCACAGAATCACAAAATCACAGAATCACAGAACATTAGGGATTGGAAGGGACCTTAAAAGATCATCTAGTCCAATTTCCCTGCCAGAGCAGGAACACCTAGATGAGGTTACACAGGAAGGCGTCCAAGCGGGTTTTGAATGTCTCCAGAGAAGGAGACTCCACAACCTCTCTGGGCAGCCTGGTCCAGTGCTCTGTCAACCTCACTTAGAAGAAGTTTCTTCTCAAATTTAAGTGGTACCTCCTGTGTTCCAGTTTGTGTCCGTTACCCCTTGTCTTATCATTGTTTGTCACCGAGAAGAGCCTGGCTCCATCCTCATGACACTCACCCTTTAAATATTTATAAACATTAATGAGGTCTCCCCTCAGTCAGTCTCACCTCTGTGCCTGCCATGGAGCAGATCCTCCTGGATACTATGCTAAGGCACATGGAAAATAAGGAAGTGATTGGTGACAGCCAACATGGCTTCTTCAAGAGCAAATCGTGCCTGACAAATCTGATGGTCTTCTATAATGAAATTACAGCACTGGTGGATAAAGGAAGACCATCTGACATAATCTGCCTAGTCCTGCATGACATCCTTGTCTCTAAATTGGAGAGGTATGGATTTGATTGATGGACCATTTGGTGGATAAGGAATCGGCTGAATGGCCATGCTCAAAGTGTTGCAGTTAACGGCTCAGTGTCCAAGTGGAAACCAGTGCATTCCTCAGGGGTCAGTATTGGGACCAGTGCTGTTTAACATTGTCTGCAACATGGACAGTGGGATTGAGTGCACCCTCAGCAAGCTTGCCGATGACACCAAGCTGTGTCATGCAGCCAACAGAGTGGAGGAAAGTGATGCAATTCAGAGTGACCTTAGTCTTGAGAGGTGGGCTCGTGCAAATCTCATGACGCTCAACAAAGCCAAGTGCAAGATCCTGCACTTGGGTTGGGGCAATTTCAAGCACAGATACAGGTTGCATGGAAAAGGGACTGAGGGGAGCACTAAGGAGAAGGACTTGGGGGTGTTGATTCATGAAAAGCTCAACATGACTTAGCAATATGTGCTTGCATCCCAGAAGGCCAACTGTATCCTGGACTGCATCAAAAGAAACGTGATCAGCAGGTCAAGGGAGGTGATTCTGCCCCTCTACTCTGCTCTCGTATAGCTGTGTCCAGCTCTGAGGTCCTCAACATAAGAAGGGCCTTGAGCTGTTGGAGTGGGTCCAGAGGAGGGCCATGAAGATGATCAGAGGGCTGGAGCACCTCTCCTATCAAGACAGGCTTATAGAGTTGGGGTTGTTCAGCCTGGAGAAGAGAAGGCTGTGGGGAGACCTTACGGTGGCCTTCCAGTACCTGAAGGAGCCTACAGGAAAGCCGGGGAAGGACAGGATGAGGCGTAATGGCTTTAAGCTGGAAAAGGGTAGATTTAGACTAGATATTAGGAAGAAATTATTTACTGTGAGGGTGGTGAGACACAGACACAGGTTGCTCTGGGAAGTTGTGGATGCCCTCTCCCTGGCTTCAAGGCCAGGTTTAAGCAATCTGGTATAGTGGAAGGTGTCCCTGCCATGGCAAGGAGTTGGACTGGATGATCTTTAAGATTCCTTCCAGTGCAAACCATTCTATGTTCTACGTACTTGGTAGCTTTTCTGTTGATTAAAGATTTTCTTTTTTTCTTTTCTCAAGGTCCCATCCTTTTTCTCCATATATTTTCCTATATAATACCTGCAATAAATCTCGCAACCCGAATTTCTTTCTCTTTTAGCTTCTGAATGAGTCCTGGGCACATACCCAGAATTTTAGAGTTGTGTTTATTGTATAGCCTTAATTTGCTTTATTGAAGTCTGATAAAATACAATTAATTAATTAATCCTTTTTCAGCTGGTGTAAATGTATGATGGACATGCTTTATTTATGTTACATGTAATAATTTTCAGTGATACTTGGATTAAAAAGTTGCCAAATCTCTCTGAGATCTGTTTTTACAAAAACAGAAGACCCAAACAAACAAAAAGGAAGAAATTGCATTCTGCCATTCTGGCAGTGATACAGTATTTATATTGAAAGCAAGACTGTAGCACGCAGTGAAGTTCTTGTGGTGTAACTTTTATAATTTTCATTTCATTGTTTTACTTTGGTCAAGATTGCATTCATACTTTTTAAGGGTGGTGTTGCTTGATTCAATTGGGCAATTTCTGTAGAAATGTTTTTTAATTTCATAATCTGTTAGCTTTCATCACACTATTGATATAAGCTGCTGAAAGTAATGTCTTGGTTTCTGTTCTTGTTTGAAGTGTGGGCAATGCATAATGGGTTCACTGAATGAGGAATGTATTATATAAATGTCAACTATTACTGGTTTTCCCCTGAGAATATTTTTGGACTAATTTTGAGGGGAACACCTTCCCTTGGACAGATGCAGAAGATTCTGAGAAACTGGTCAAGTCTTCCTGACTAACAGACTCATGATTCAATTGACTAATTCTGGCACATGTCAGAATCACAGAAACTGCTTGAAAAATGAGCTTGCAGTTTGTGTGGTCAGAATCACACACACATGGTTGTTTGTGAATAAGGAGACTGTTCTTTTGCTGTCTATATGATACTCCTAATGTCAGGGTTTGTAGGATGGGGAGCATAAATGTATGTAGGAGACAAATGGGCTACCACTACATTTGCAGGGAAGGTATGCCGGCTTTTTTTGGATATTTGAAAACCATAAGGGGCCAGAAAGAACAAGAACAATGGTGGATAGAAGTAATTTTAATAATTTCTAATGAAAATGGTTGCAGCAAGTTTCTTTGTTAAGAAAATTATTTGTTGGGTTTTTTTTTTGATTGAGCAGGTTCTATACAGTTCGCTACAGAGAAAAGGATAAAGACAAGAAATGGGTTTTTCAGCTTTGCCCAGTGACAGAGACGGTGGTGGACAATCTGAAGCCAAACACACTTTATGAGTTTGGAGTTAAAGACAACATAGAGGATAGTATTTGGAGCAAGACTCTCAATCATAAGACAGTTATTTCTAGTAAGTATTTGGCAATAATTAATAAAATAGCTACTCAGTTTGACTGTATTTTTTCCTCTACTCTGGGATTACTTAAAGTATGCTACTGATTAAGTTTTCGATGTTTAAATGCTATCCCTTATGCCCTTAACAAACTCTTTTTGGAATTTGCCAAACTAGAAATAGTTTCTGTTTGAAAAACTACCACCTACTTTTCTGAAAGGTGTTCTCTTCTTATTGTAAATAGTAGAGGATCTGCTGCAGGCTGGTAGAACTCTAACACTGATTAGTTTAGATACACATAAAGTGTTGAGTACATACATTTATACTTCTGATTGGATTCCAAGCTTTTTCCTAGGGAGTTTAATAAGATGATCATTACTAATTTCATTTGATTGAAAGTATTATCCTTGTTTGAATCTTCTTTTATGTCTGCTTTTAAGTTATAGCTGGTTAAAAGTTAGACAGGGCCTGTCCTATCCAGCATGTATCACAATGGGGCTATTATGACTCTGCTGAAAAGTTAAATTTGAAGCTAATTTTAAGAGAAGAAATTATATAAATTGTGTTCAAAGTATACACTCTCACATATGTTTTTGTTTGGGATTTCATGGAAGCAGTGTATGGCATCTCTAGCTGTTGTCTCAGTCATAGGAAGTCACAGGAAGGCTTATCAGAGGAACCTGGATAGGCTGGGTTGATGGACTGAGGCCAATTGTATGAGCTTCAACAATGCCAAGTGCCGAGGCTGCACTTGAGTCACAGAACTCCGTGCAACATTACAAGGCTTGGAGAAGAATGGCTGGAGAGCTGCCAGGCAGAAAAGGACCAGGGATTGTTGTTTGACAGCCAGCTCAACATGAGCCAGCGATGTGCCCAGGTGGCTAAGAAGGCCAATGGCATCCTGGCCTGCATCAGGAATAGCATAGCCAGCAGGACTGGAGAAGTGATTGTCCCACTGTACTGGCACTGGTGAGGACATGTGAAAACACATACTGTGTTCAGTTTTGGGTGCCACAGTATAAGACATTGAGGTGCTGGAGAGGGTCCAAAGAAGGGCAACAAAGCTGGTGAAGGGTCTGGAGCACAAGTCTTACGAGGAATGGATGAGGGACTTGGGATTATTTTGTCTGAAGAAAAGAAGGCTGAGGGGAGACCTTATTACTCTCAACAACAACCTGAAAGGAAGCTGTAGAGAGGTGGGTGTGGGTCTCTTCTTACAAGTTACAACCAAGAGGACAAAAGGAAATGGCGTCAAGTTACTCCAGGGGAGGTTTAGATAAGAAATTAGGAAAAACTTCTGCACTGAAAGGGTTATCAAAGACTGGAACAGTCTGCCCAAGGAGGCAGCTGAATCACCACTGTTGGATGTATTTAAAAGCTGTCTAGATATGGTGCCTCAGGGACACGGTTTAGAAGTGAGCATGGTAGCTCTTTCTCTGGAGTCCCAAGACAATGCAGGCAAAGTGATATCAAACACTTGAAACACCTGTACTGCTCAAAGAATCACTGCTGTCAATGGAGGAAATAGGCAGCATAAGAGTCTTCCTCTTTTTAAAGAAAGGAAGAGAGGACTTAACAGACATTGTCTAATTTATTTTGTTTTCTTCAAACATTTACATAAAGGTTTTTCTGAGCATGATGTTGGTCAGAAGATGCTGCAAACTCCTATGATCAGTATTTCTATCTTGATTCAAAATGTGAAGATTTGGAATTCTCATGAGAGATCCTTATTCACATAATATTTCCAGATTACATTTGATTTGGACCTCAGTTTCAAGTTGCAGGCAAGTTAGACAGGCTGATATACTTCAGAATAAGGGAGGGGAGCAGCAAGGTGGCTTATAATACTGCAAAAGCCTTCATACTCCCTAATAAAGAACTTTGCTGGCCTTCATCATAAATTAGAAAGCTGTAACATTGAAGTACCTGCCAAGTGCCCATAGAGTAATTTTAGAAGTCAAGAATAATCCCAGCATTATGCCATGAGTTTAAAATGGGGAATGGTAATAGTCTTTTTCCTCACTATCTGCCTTACAAAAAGAATCCCTGCTTCACAGGTCTAAAGAAGACTTATTAAATGCCTAGTTTTCCTAAATGTTAAACATTTTAAAGTCATCTGTAGAGTGAGTGCTGGAATATATTTGAGCATTTAAAGTAGGAGGGAATAAAGAGTGCATAGTGTTTATAGTTTAAACACAACTTAAAGTTGACACTGACTGAAATGTCCACTGGCATCACCAAATTTACTCTTTGCATATAATATATTTCAAAATGCTGCATCTTACAGACACTACACATTTTTAATAGGTCGGAAGAATCATTCTTATAAATTATGAAGACAGTTTGCATTAGGCTGAAAGATACTTTCTTTTAAGAGTTCATATACTATTTAAATGAGACTTTTTTCCCCTAGAATGTAGACTTGTGTATTCAGTAGGTGCTTCTGCTGCAACTAAATTCAAGGAGCTTGCTACCACCCTGAATGTCTACATTCTCATCTACTGATATGTATCTTCTGATCAGAAAGATGACAGCACCTTTCAGATTCAAGCCTTTCATATTGTCATTGCATAGTAGGTAGACAGAGAAACTGTGGGCAGTAAACAGAGAATGAATATTTATTATAAATTTCTAACCATCTGACTACATAGGAGTTTACCAGTCAGCACAAATGACCACTTCTTTTCTAACTTACTGTATAGTCAAGATCTTTTCGTATATTAAGAAACATCTCCATTTAAACCAACCCTCATTCACTTTAAAATTTCTTTTCTCACTGAAGAATATATAAATTAATATAAACTAAAATTCCTGTTGCATGTTATAGTATTTGTTGAGTCCACAGGACAAATTTTTGCAATATACTAAACACATTGGGAGGGGTTGGGAGGAGAATCTGGTTTTAATTCATAATTTGAGGAAGACATAAAATACATGGCAAATATTCAAAGTTTATTTAATCAAAATTTATCAACAGAGATGAAAGTAGATTATTTCTGACCATCTTAACATTATTTTCTCATGAAGTCAGTGTCAAACTTATGTCACTTTTCCCTTTTCTTTAGGCCAATAGTAGGTCCTGGTCCTGAGAAGTATCAAGCACTTTGAGAGACTTTTTCCAGGATAACATGTCAACTTAAATGTCTCTCAGTTTATATTTCTTTATAGATGATTTTTTTTCTATTGCTTATCACTTTTGGATATAATTGTGAAGAATTCGTTTGATTCTTGCTTACATGTCATTTGATGCAAAGGAAGCAGAAAAGTGTTAAGATGGAACATGCAGACAAAGTATGACACATCATGCTAGGATATAAGAGATGCCGGGAGGGCATCACAACAAGCTTCCAATACTAAGAAGCTAAGAGGAAAAACCTAAGAGAAGAATTTCAGATTAAATCCATGGGTTACTTTGTTCATGTGTTGAGACAAAGGAAACCATGTCAGACCCAAAGAGAAGTAATATGCCTGCTCTGTATTGCCAGTGCTATAAATGTGTATTTCTTTTAGAAGAGTGCACTTAAAAGCAAGACTAACTATTGGAGACCTTAAAACATGCTGCTTTTAGCCAGTCTTAGTACCAGCCTGACAGAGGGGGTGCAGAAATTCCTCTTTCAAGTTTCTTTCTTGTGTGTTAGTATTGTGGTTATATTAATTGTATTAAAGAATCTTCTTAGGCAACTCTGACTTCTCCTTAGTAAGTCCTAAAGACCACTTCAGCTCTTTTACCCATTGCTGTAGAACAAGAAGAATACATTTCATTTCGTCTCTGTCAAAATGCAAAGCGGAGGATTTGCAGATGAATTAGTCAATTTGGAGAAACAGAAACAAGCAAACTGCTAGATGATGGTTTTTTATACTTTACAAATAAGCCTTCTAACTTTCTTAGCTATTGAAAAAGTTGAATAAACTTGGTTTACTTTGGTTTGGACAAAACAAAATGTAATTCTGTGTATTTATTTCTCTTTCTGTCAAATCAGATAAAAAAGTAAATGGACAACTCCAGAATATGTACAAGTTGGTACCTAATGGCCAAACACAGGTATGCAAAACAGTCTTATTTTTTATACCAGATTTGTGTTTGTGTTTTGTATGGTCAAATTTTTGCTTCTTTGTTAGGGTAAAGTGAGAAAAGACATTATGGTCACATATTGCCAATATAAAAAAGTATGTTAAATCTAAGACTAGATAACTACATGGGGAAGCGTTTACATGTAGTGGATTGATAAAATGACTGAGAACTGTAGCTAAGATAATTACATCTGTTGATTCCAGTTTAACAAAGATGAAGCTGATCATTTCCATTCTGAACGTTTGAATTTGTTTATTCCTTTGTAGTAGTCAGGTTTGTTAACCTGCGATATTTGCAGTGGTCAGTTCATTTTGTGATACAGTAGTGCTGTTATTTTATAGAGTGATCTTTTGTGTACTCAGAACTTCTAAAATCATTAGCCATTCCATTGAATTCACTGATAGTTCTCATATGTGAGGCAAGTGTTTGCAAAACAAGAGGAGGCTGGAAAGGGCAATTTAATTTGCTTATTGAGATTGCTAGGCAGTTCATTAAATCCTTGCTGTGCAAGGTAGAATTTTTAACTGTTTCATGAAAACATTTGAAGATTTTTTTTATTAATAAGTAAATAAATATCAATATCTATTAATTTATTCTTTTTTTTCTCCTCATCTGACATTTGCCATAACAGCTGTCAAGGAAGCATGGGTGGGCTTCATACATTTGTGGATTCACAAACAGAAATAATTTTGCTTCCGACAGCTGAAGCAGAAATGAAGGATCTGCAGAATGAACATGTTAGTAGGCTAGTTTTAATACAGTGAAAAATAGACATTTTATTAATAGCTTTTGAGCATTACCTCCTCTTCTGATATTAAATTGTTTCCTTCATCTTTCCTTTCCTTAATTTTTTAACAAAGTGCAAGTTTCAGCAGCTAAATAGCTCATCTTCTGGGTTTTTGTTTGTTTGTTTGTTTGTTTAGCTATGTTTGTAAGTTACTATCCA